CCCTCTAATCTTGAGGCTATGCCCTCTTGTCCTAGCTTCACCTGCCAGTGGAAACATCCTCTCTACTTCTATCCTATCTATTCCCTTCATAATTTTATATGTTTCTATAAGATCCCCCCTCAATCTTCTGAATTCCAATGAATATAATCCCAATCTACTCAGTCTCTCCTCATAAGCCAACCCCCTCAACTCCGGAATCAACCTAGTGAACCTCCTTTGCACCCCCTCCAGTGCCAGTACAATAAAATACCAACTGCAATAATATTGATATTGTAAATGGAAATGTGACTAAGCCAACTGTTCTACAGTTCAGACAAAGGTTGATTTGGGATTCAACTGCAGGTACCCAACACTTTTGTCCCACATCCCTTAGCAACTCTGATGAATTTTTGACATCCAATCATCTATAAAATTTAATAATTGACTGGGCATTAATTGCTGATTGCGGGGGAGAATTCCAAACTTTAGCCACCTTTTGTGTTACATTATTGTATTATTTAGTGAGGAATCAATTGTTATGTGAATATATATCCTGGGGAGCCACCCTGGCTGCTGCACTGTAGTCACTGCCACCTAACAATGTACTGTCTTCCAGCTACACGGAGAGCTAAAAGAAATACATGTCATCAAGTTCCAGAATTTCGATTCTACACTGTGATTATTTTTAAACTTAGAACCTGGACCACATACCACCTTGTGTGTCAAAGAATTTTTTTTTATTTTACTGCTGGAAGGTCTGGCTCTAACTTTCAGGTTATGTCCCCCAGTCCTAGACTTTGTAACCAACAAAAATAACATCACTCCAAGACCTAGTAGAGGTTTATAAAATCATGAGGGGCATGGATAGGGTAAATAGGCAAGATCTTTTTCCCAGGGTGTGGGGGTTTAAAAATTCAGGGCATAGGTTTAAGGTGAAAGAGGAGAGATATAAAAGGGGCCTAAGGGGCAACTTTTTCATGCAGAAGGTGGTGCATATATGGAATGAGCTGCCAGAGGAAGTGGTGGAGGCTGGTATGATCACAACATTTGAAAGGCATCTCGATGGTTATACAATTAGGAATGATTTAGAAGGATATGAACCAAATGCTGGCAAATAGGACTAGATTTATACAAGATATCTGAACAGCATGGACAAGTTGGACCAAAGGGTGTGTTTCCATGCTGTTTATTTATCAACTCCCTGTAAAGTCATGAAAAAACACACTCAAAAGTTAAGGTTTTCAAACTTATCTGGTTTAAGAATGCCTTTTGAATGAAATAGTGATCATTAATCTCCATCCAACTATAATATATAATCATACTAAGAAAATGGTGCACATGCTATTTTAATAACAATTTATGAAAACAGATCTTTTCTGATATTAATGAGATAGGTATGCCTACTTCTAAGTGTAGAAGTGGTCTATTTTTGAAAATAATGTGTAAATGATTCTCAATTACTTTATCCAATCAATAATCTCCAGTTATTGGTCTTTCATCAATTAACCATTCTGGCAAATTTATGCAGTGTTACATACAACTCCAAACTTCCTAAGCTGTGGTATCTACAGCCTTCTCACAATACTCCAGATGTGGTCTAATCAGGGATAATAAAACAAGACTTGAAGCATGATATCAATCCCCTTGCGTCATGGTCCTCTAGATATAAAGATTAGCATTCCTGGAGCCTTTTGCAGACATTTTAATCATCTGTGTAGCTGGTCATTCAAAGCATTCTCACCTACTCCTTTCTCAACCATCCCTCACTCCAACCCCCTGCCTTAGGACTTTCCTTATGTCTTGATTTTCACCACTTAGAAAATAGCCAGTTATTCTTTTTTGATCTAAACTGCATAATCTCAAATGCCTAGGTTGAAATCAATTTACCACATTGCACCATTCACATTCTATTAATATCATTGTAATTTTGTGTCTTTGTACACAGTGAAGACAATGTCAACCTTTGTGTCAAGAGATTTGGTTATGTGGCTTTCTATCTCATCAGTTATATCATTAATAAATGCAATGATGTCCCAACATGCATCCTTGCAGAACACTACTAGTCACAGTGCAATCAGAGTACCTGCCAATTGTCCTCACACCCGATGTCTTGCTACTCAATTTCCCAAACAGATCAATAATTCTACTTTAAAAAGGTTCACCCTTAGCTAATAGCCTCTGTTGAGAATTTTTAATCAAATACTTTCTAGAATCCTTACAAATAACATTCATAGAATCTCCCTATAAGACCTCTTGTGGTGCAAAGGTAGTATCCCTACCATTGAACCAAGAGGCCCAGGTTCACATTCTACTTGTTCCAGGGTGCCAAAACGAATTTAGAATTTTCCTGATTATGTCAGTTAATTTTCCAAATTTAAAAAAAAAAATCAAACAGGTCCATCAGACATGGTCTTTCCATCAGAAATTCAGGCTGGTGATTTCTGGTCAGCTAAAAATATAAGGTGTTCTGTTGCTCTGTCCAGATGCTAGCTATTAGAATGATTGATTTGTAATTCTCTAGTTTCCCTCACTTTTCTTAATCACATTGCACAATTTTTCAATTTAAAGAATCAGCTCTCACATTGAGAGACAAGATTACAGCAGATCTGATTTTAACTAAAATACGTTAACGTTTACCAATCAGTTTAAATATTAGGTAGAAGGTGTCTATCAACTGGAAACTCAATCTCTTTTTAAATACAGTGCGCACTGAAAACTAAATGAACAAGTTGGTTTCACATTTCTCCAATGAATTTATACACATAAAATTAACTAGAATTTGGTCATTAGATTAAAAATTAAATGCATTTACTTTATTAAATCTACATTGTATATTGTGATAGTTATATTTGTTTTGACAATTAAATTTAAATTTTCCTCCAATCTTAAACTATTTTCAGATGTCACGTTCATTCAGTAATGTCAGCTGTTCTGGATTTTATTTTTTTTTTGAGTAAGAGAGCAATGATAATAAGTCACTGACAGATGTATTACTGCAAGACATCCAAGGAACTTGACAAAAATACTTCACTAAAACAAGCTGACGTGAGAGCTAGCAGAATATTGTGTACGTTATCTTAGAAATTATAACACAAATCTTATGAAATACCTACATGCAGCATCACTAATAGAGTAGGTTGCCAGGTGTAGGGTCATACCCACTGCAGAAGCCTACCAAACATAGACAAACACCTGACTGGATCCTTCTAAGACCACAGAAACAGTCTTTGCTCAGTTATGACGAGTTACTAATTTTTCTCTCACAGCATTACTCATATACAATCTCTTTATAAAACAGTGCCCCTTTGTGCAAGTCCTATTTTGTATCTCTGACACTCTTTCTCAATGCTTATTTCTTTTTGTCTTCAAGTTTTTCTTTGTGGCTCTCAAAATACTTTTCCTTTCTTTACAACTTTTTTTTATGCTCTCCATCAATGTTTAAATATCCCATGGGCTTTTTTCATCCCTTTTCACTCTCATTAACTTTGCATTCCTCTTATACTTTCTTATTCTATGTGCATTTATGTAAATCTTAACATTCTATATATGACCCACTCTAGATGGCTGTAACCTCAACCTGAATGGTTTAAAAAAACTGTGCATTCAGGGTCACTGATTTTAGCCCTGGTGAACATGCTTACACTTTCCCAACATCCACACCCCTCTCCCATCTGCCCCCTATTTGTCCAGGCCAATACAGATCAACATTCAAGTAGTCTAACCAAATAGAATGAACATCAATCTAAACTGAACAACTCTTACAGCATGCAGCATAATTTTAAATTCCTATTCGTTTTTCATTCTAAATCACTGAGATGGTCTGGGTGGGATGCTCTTTGGAAAGTCGGTGTGGACTTGATGAGCTGAATGGCCTGCTTCCACTGTAGGGATTCCGTATAACCACAAATCCAATTAGCTCCAGAACTGAGCTTTGAAATTACTTTGGAGCTCTGTGATCAAGGAGGATGTCAACCCAGATCCAAAATGTGTCAGCTGAGTTGGTAGCACGTCCCCCACTAAATCAGAAAGTTATGTGTTGATTGCGTGATCTGAATGACAACGGTATGCAATATAATAGTTCTGTTCCCTCGGAAGGTAAAGTGTTGCATCAATGTGCCATCTGTCCTTAGATGGACAAAAAAAATCATATGGTACCATTTTGAAGAACAGCAGGGGAATTGACCCCTATGTTCAATAATTATTCTTCAACCAACATCACTAAACCAAGTTATTTGGTCATTACCTTATTGCTGTTCATGCATCCATGCAACAAATTATTGCTCTGTTTCCTATACTACATTAGTGTCTACACTTCAAATATGTTTAAGCAGCTGTAGGCCCCAAGATCATGAACATTTCTATACAAAAATGCATTCATTTTGCATTTAGGACAAAAGCTGAGTATGCTACGTCGTCAGAACTGCTGGAAATACAGACTGATTTCCTGTATTCACTGTTTATACTGAAATAAATAAATTAGGTGTACGATTTTGCTCCAAGTAAGCAGAAGAACATTTGTGCATGATTTCACACAAGTATACTAAATACTGGAATCCATTTTGCACATAAAGTAATGCTGTATGTTCCAAAAGATTCTTTCCCTTCAACTAAGCTCCTTCCTTTCATTTTGAAAGGATAATTATTTTCCTAGGAAGATGTATCAATTCCAATAAAAAAGATGATGGAGAAGACTGAATAAGACCCATTTATTATGGCTTCATGTTTAAGTGATGACTGTCCTCAACATGATTTGCATCAAATCCCATACTTCCAAACAAATAAAAATAGGTTTATCATGCACTTTAGATTTTGTCTCTTTAAATTTGCAGAAAATAACTTCTGCTTAGATCATGTAAACGACAAAAATTAAAATTTAAGAATTAACACCTTTTTTCAGCAGAAATAATAAACAGAGAAAGGAAGTGAAGTACATCTTTCAACTTAGAATAGATGATGAGTCAATAGAAGGATATGACACTTGCAATGAAGTGAGCCATTACAAACAAGACATTTCATAAGCAGAGCCAAGAAATGTTTTATTCACTCTCCACCCCCAAAAAAGTCTCTTGCAGCCAGAAGTTGGAAACTCCTACTGCCAAGTGAAAATGAAAACGTCTATTCTAGAAGTGACTTAAGGTGGTTTCTATAATCAAATTAAAATCCAAATGTGCATTCAAAAGGTAACAACTACTCTGCAGCTGAATGCAAATAACATGAAATGAGGAAAAACGCCAACAAAAGAAGCTTTGCTGCTTCTGCCTTACAGTAAGAATTAAAGGGAGACTGGAACAAAGAAATGTTAAGTCATTCCATACGAACACAAAACACTTCCAAAAAAAGCCGTTTTTTAAAAAAATACCGAGTACGAGTCCCTAAAATTAGGACTTTTGGGGAAATTCCCTAAATAGCTATGTCAGCTAAAATTAATCTTATCTTTGGCAATTACTTATTTGCATATTCTTCTTTTGCATGCTCCGTTACAGAACGATAAAAGGTGGCACTTTGTCCTGCTGGAAATTCATGCGAACAGGAGGCCAGATTGACAGCAAGACTAGGTACGAAAGCGGACTGGATGTAAGCAGCCCTCCAAAAGCGGACGGGAAAGGGAGAAGCAGCGCCTTCCCGCTCACTTCTCGCGCTTAATTACGCGAGACCTTCAACAGCACCCCCTTTCCAAATGTCCTTTAAATTAACACCACGCGTCCGTCTCTCCTGCAATTATTACTCCAGAGTTCTGAACTAAAATAAACTTCGAAAAAGACCACCGATGCCCCAAGAGTTCTTGTTTGTCGGAGAATCAGAAACTTGTTGCATTTTCACCTAATTTGCACAAAACGTTCCCCATATCACTGCATTAACTTTGTGTTTTTTGGACTCGCGCACTACCTGAAGTGGTGCGGGCAGGCACTTTAAATTGTGGGCTTGAAGAATTTTGAATGGGAGGGGGATGTAATAAACGTAGATGTTTAAAAAAACAACTTGTAGAAATTACACCAAGTGTTTATACCGGAATACCAAATGGCGCGTGTATAAATGATCTGAATTAGTGAAGCATGAAATTTAAATGATAATGACACATTTTAAATTAGAACTTGAGTGGGCAAATCGCTCATCCCTCCAATATATTTCTAATGTTTAAACCAGTCCACATTATAGGGCAGGTGGGAGTAACTCTTTCCCTATTTAACCGGGAAGATGACAATGCTTGTTTTATTGGTGCTATTTCACTAAATGTCTGCCAGAGGAAGCACAGTGTTGCTGTGGGTGGGACTGATGAACATTTTTGATGTTTTCGCACTTGACTGACCACACGACACAGTTTAAGTTTTCCATAAGAGCATGTGTGTGTGCACTCAAATATACATCTCTCACAATTCGGGGTCCTTGCACAAACAAATCCCAAGTTGGTCACAGTAAACTCCCAGGTTGAGAAATAATCCATGCCAAAGGTCTGACTTTAAACTACATTCTCCCCTCCTCAGGGACCAAACACAGGTCGTGGAAATTAAGTTTCCCGGCGCCACTGGAGGGTGCAGAATTGTAGTGAAATTACACCTCCCCCCCAGTTCAATGGCAGTGTCTCCCTCTCCTCACCTGACCACGTTGGGATGCTCGAAGGATTCGAGTTGCCTCAGTACAGCCACCTCCCGGATGGTGGAGAGAGGCATCCCTTCCTCCCCAGTCTGAACTCGCACTTTCTTCAGAGCCACGAAGCGACCTTCGTTCTTCCTGTCTCTGGCCTTGTAAACCTTACCGTACGCCCCCTCCCCGATCTCGGCCACCGGTTCGTAGCGGTCGGAGAAACTGGCCTCTTTCCCCTCCATGGCGCCGAGTTCGGATCTCCGCGCTGCCCTTCACACATAGACGGAAACAAGTTTGGATACAGTTGGGCCAGTCACATCTGGAAAGCGAAGACAATACGTGATTGATAATGATAATATATATAAAAAACTTTTGCAGAGATGTAAAATGAAAATGCATAGGCAGCTGCTAATGGGGCGTTTCTTTTTTTGTTAAAGCAACACGTTAGCCGAGTTGACAGAAAGTTAATGTGTCCAGTCATGAGGGCGACGCTCTACCATTGAAAGTTTTGCAGCGATGCCTCGAAAGCTCGGTTCCCCGCGAGAAGACATGAGTGGAAAGGGGCGAGCAGCTGGCCCTCGGTAAAGGGAGAGCAGCTGCAGCCCCGGGTATACAAACACACACACACACACACACACTCCCGCTCACTGCAGCCGCCGACCGGGCTCCTTACTTTCCAAAGCATGCGCACAGCGACCACCTTCAACACGTGCTACTGGCAAAAGATTGTGTACAAAACAAATAGTTCAAACTAACAGGCAGCCAGAGAGCCGCCAGCTTAAACAAACAATTTCCCCCGGTGCAGCTTTGATCACCTCACCCCCCCCCCCATAATGAAGTTTATTTTCCGTCAGTCACTTTGCCTTTAATTTTAATCGTGTGGGGGGTGGGGTGGGAATTAGTAATTCCCAAAAGATTCCCGCAGGATTTTTTCCTCCCGCATCCACTGTACCCACGGGGTTGCGAACGGATAGCCTTTCCGCTGCTCCTGTATAAATAAACAGGTATAAAGAAAGGCTTTCGTTTCACCTCACCTCCTTCCCCCACAACCAACCCACCTCAAATCTCGATCTGTCACCGAGACTGACAGCCAGCTCCCTAGTGCCAGCAGTCGGTGGGTTTTTGGCAATGCTGCTTGTGGGATTGTGTGGCACAAGACAAATGCTGGAATCAGGGGAACAATACATTTATCAGCAAGCATGGGCCGCCCCATTGCATTTGTCATCCAGAATATTGATGAGGCAAGATCCCACGTTGAAAACACCATGCAGCTTTAAATATATATTATACATATATATATTTAATACCCTGCCGAAAATCTAAGACTTCTTGAATTAAAACAATATACCTGATTCTAAGCATGTATTGAGATCACCCACTAGGTCGCAGCTTCGGTTATTACAGCTATGGTGAAGCTCAAGCCCTGCACTTTCATCTAAAAAAGTTTTTAAAAATGCATCCACAGTCGAGTGCATAATGGGACAGCCAGCCCTGATCGCTACAGACTGGGCCACACAGGTAGATGCTGCACACTTTATGGCGTGTGAACGAAGAAATCTGTCATTTGGGGTGGGGGTGTGGAGGACAAGATTGCAATTGACGCAAAAGCGAAAATAAAAGTCGGCGCAGACCATGTAATCTGCAGAACTCGTCGAGTAAATATACTTTTTTTTGCAACAGAGCAGTATATACACATGTATCTGTAGACAGCCTGGGCGGAGAGTTTCTGTCTCCACCACCAACTTCACCCCCCCCCCCCCCCCCCCCCCCCCCGCCTCTTTCTCCTTTTATCCTGAGGATTTCGTTCCCCTCTAGCCCTTGTTGAAGAAAGAGAGAGCAACGGTGCTGCCTTTTCTTTCCCACGACGCCTGAATGTGACCCCCCTTCAGCAGTTGACACAGAGCATCAACATTTCCGCATTCCTCAAACAACAAAGGCGAAACGCCGCCTGGCCTTTTTCTCTTCCCAACTCACTCATTCACTCTCTCTCTCTCTTGCACTCTCCGCTCAATGAACCTTTCGTTTCTCACTGTCAAGTTCCAGCAGCCCCGAAAGGAAGAGAAACTTAAGTCTACACAACGCAACATAAGCTTCCTCCACCGACCTCCCCCCACCCCCCCGCACCCCTCGCCTCTCCTCGCCACCAACCACCAACACACTTTCTCCTCATTAAAAAAAGAAAAAAACTCAATCCTGCTTCCTGGATCACAACATGCTAACGGTTCAGCTCAGTTAACTTTTGGAAAAGTTAAGCCAGTTAAACCCTTGGCTAATGTCCCGCTGGATTCCGACCCTTTTGTTCCTTTAGCTTGCAAAAAGTATTGCAATCGAACGGCATATTAGTAGTCTTGATCGTGAACTTGCAAAGTTCAGACTAATGCCAAAAACAATCAAAAGTGATATAAAGTTCACGATGCATACGTACCGCATATCCTGTTACTGCCAATTCATTTGCCCTTGCCAACGTTGCCAGCTACTAATCTGAAATGTGTAGGATTTTGTTCCCTTGCCCCCGAAAGTGATGTGAAAGTGACTAGTTTAAACGCTAGCGGATAATCAGTAAACAGGGCAGAACTAAACCTACAAAACAACGTTTACTTTCTTCAAACCAACACGTCCAAAGGGTCTGTCATACAGCAACTCTTTTACCCACAATACTTAAAGGGAAATAGATCACGTTTCAGTATACCAGCGGTAAACTACTAATATATACATATACATAAAATGTAGATTTGCTTACCGTGGAAGAAAGATTGAGCATTTTTCTAAATTCAAACATTGCAGTTCATTACTCAATTTGCATGAGCACTCAAAGCTTAAAGGTTATTGAAGCCAAACTGCACTAATCAAGTGGGGCCAGAGGGGGGTAAAACATCAATACCTGCATTGAAAATCTAGAACTTGTTTAAAACTTGCTCCATTCCAGGAAACGTGAATCGGTTTATTTCTCCGAAAAAAACCTTCAAAGATTGCTCATTTATGTGTCATGATGATTTATATGTGTATACATCTGAAACAAGATTCCAGCCTGACCCTGCTGTCGCAATTATTCAATATATTCTACACTTCAGAGATCAGCTAAATCTACGCTTTTCTTTTTAAAAGATGCGTTGGCAACCCGGGCTATAAAACAGTCCTGTGGCTAAAGGCTTTTGTTTTGGTAAGTCGTCCTCTATATTTCTCTTTTACAGTTTACAGCAATGTTAAAATGAAAAGTGAGAGGACGAAAATGAAAGGTGCAAGTCTGTATGCAGAAAAAAAACCTAATTTGTAAAACACTAAAGGCAAGTTAGTAATGATTTTAAATTCCTGAAATTATAGAAAATGATTTTGATGTTATTTTAGCAGTTTGTAACTAACTGTGAAAAATTAATCAATTAAAATCCAAGGCAAATGTCTAATATTAGAAATTAGTATATGTATATATTTCAAACAATATACCGTTTTTCAAAATAAGTTTCAGGGGCATGATTATTTCCTTGGAATGTAGCTTTCTGTTCCATTGATTTAGAAAATATTGATGTGTTGAAGAGTTAGTAAATAAATTTACCTAACACAAATACAGAATTAGCTCATGTATCAATTACAATGTATTACAAAATACAGAAGTAACCCATGTTTTCATGTTTTTATGTTCATGTTTTTATTAGCATTATTATTGCATTCAAACATAAGTATAACCAATCTCCTCAATATTGTTAGGTTATTTATACCTGCTGATTTATATTTCATTCAAATATTTGATAGCCAGAATTAAAAGTCTTAAAGATGTATAAAATTAATATGTTATTTTCTTTAAGGTCTTAGACTTTTGATATTTCTGAAAGGAGTTGTGATGTTTGTACTTTGCAATTTTTTTTATAAATTATAACTTCAAACATCAGTATACTGCTTATTGCAAAGAATCACAGTTAATTACAATACTTTTTAAACATATGTTTACAGTATGATATAAAGATACTGTGAAAAGTACTTTTACAAGTTTGATTCATCTAAAAACTATGCTGACAAATTCAAAGTTATGTTACAGTGTAGTCCCTGTATAGTCGCAGCTGACCTTTCCTCCTATTCCCCCACACCTCCTTTTACCCCACAAAGATCCTGGCAGGTTCCCTGGGGCAAAGAGCAGAGTTCAAAGAGATTTGTACACAAATTTCATATAATTGGTATTGACAAACAAATATATTTTAAAACTGATCCAACTTGGAAAGTAATTTTTTTCATCAGTAGAGATGATAGGCTTTATGGAAAATAGCATTAAGAATTAATAATGTAATGTTTCATCCTTTATGTAAAATAGAATAACAAATAGGCATTAAATTATTTTAATGATCGATTCTTGTTGGAGGTTGTTAATATTTTTTGATTTTGAAAGATTTTGAAAAATAATGTCACTTCTTTACAATTAGAAAACTTTATAATGAGCAAGTGGCAAATTAACTACTCAAATTTGAAAATAAAAATGATGACAGCTTAGAAAATATCCTGAATAATGATGCTTGAAAGCACATTGAGAAATACAATACACCAATGTTCATAAAATCAGTATATCTGTTCAATAAAATCTGGGCATATTCAACATGTAACAAAACTATGAAGCTATATTCCATCACAGACTTTATTGTGTGCTGTTTATTCCTAATATTTTATTTGTTTGGCATCTCAAAACATAGCCTCCTGTTTATTCACATTACTGAACATTTAATTGACCTTTCATTTGAAAACCAACAACAAGGCAATTGATTTTTGAGGAATGTTAATGCAGTTCTTAAATGCAGGGCAAGAGATGTCTCACCTCTCATATACAAAAGGAGTAGTTCTGAAATTAATGGAACATGAGAAAGGAATAGTACCTTCATACACATTACATTAAAAATGTAATCTGTGTACTATCTATCTATGACTAAGTATGAAAGAAAGCATTGATGTGTATACTTATTACAGAATTGAATTAACTAGATGCTTAATCTCTTTTAGAGTAATAACAGAAATATTTGCAGAATTTTTTTTAAAATAGCAAACGTAGAAAGTGAGAGTGACATTACAACTCAACTGTCTTATAAGCTTAATGACTCTTTGTAGCCTGAAATATGCTGGTAATTTATTGTTTGATATATTGATTTGGAACTTTCAAAAATACTGTAATTTTTTGTTACTATTAGAATGCTTTACAATTTTCAAAGAAAGCAAAATGTTCACTCTGATACCATTTGAAATCAAAATCTGTGTCTTTAAACGTAACAATCTAGTAGTCTGCTTAAATTAAGCAACAAATAATGTTCAATGTACTTTCTAACATCAAACTTTTGTGGTGTGCTTTCTATCCTCTATACATTGAAAAATTACAGCTACATAGTGTGAACTGCATAGCTAACATAGAAAGCTGAAGTACAAATAATGCGTAAGTATTATTTATAAATATATCTTAAAATGTCTTCACAGCATATGTAGTGATGTAAATCTACTTTTTCTTTTCACTGTAAGAAACAACACTTACAATATCTACTTCCTTTTAACATTTTTTATGAAATGATCAGATTGAAGTTAATTCCATCAGAATAGCTATTAAGAGTTTATGATATGTTTAACCATGGCTGTAAATGTTTCAGATGATAGTGTTACTTTATTGCAGAGACCAACGA